TGTGGGGCCCCCCCCCCCCCCCCCATCTGAATACTGAAAAACGGCCTGGACAGGAAAAGGGTTTAACACCCCGGTCTTCAATTGGTTAAACACCAGTATTCCAGTAAGGAAGTATGATGGTTGACATTACTTTGTTAATAAAACAAACCATGTCATGCAGCGACTGAGTATCAAATGGCCTTTTAATCCCCTTTATTCCAGCATGTCACACAGGGATTCTATGTGACGTGGCTTTGTTTATAAACCAATGTCATACAGCGACGTGGCATTTTAAAGCCCAGTTTTTCAGATTGCGCTGAACAATCAGCCACGTGAAAACTCATTTTGCTTACCCCTTCTAGGCAATATGCAGGGGAACTGCAAGACCCAGCAGGTCCTTTCAGCCATATACCTCAGTTTTGTCCGTCTAGTGCAGCGTGGCGGTCAGGTAGCAATGGCAAGGCACTGGCAATCTACTTTTACCAGCCACAGCAGACCAGATTTCCTGTAGTTCACCTTTTTACTATATTCGAAGCGACCAATGCAACTACTGCCCCTCCCGGAATTCACTATTTAAAGTGACATTAAAGTCAGATTTTTTTTTTTCCCCTTCTCAATTCTGCTGTAGGGACTTACCTTAAATGATGCTTCTTCTTTATTCGATCATCTTCTTTCCTGTCCTTTTCAGCTGTCCCTCCAGCGCTGGTTCGGGGTCTCCGATCCAGCGCCGACTCCTCTGTCCTCCTCTTCTCTGATGTCCCACGGAGTCTGTGCAGGTGCACGCTGCTCCATAGACTTACCTTGTGTCTCTCCTCGTCTCCCGGCCGAACATCTGAAGTGCGCGTGCGCCCGCCCCAAGATCCTTTGCTGCCGCCCGAGACTCTTCAGATGTTCGGACGGGAGCGCGCGGTGAAGACACAGGTACGTTTTAAACCGGTTTTTAAAGGGTATTTAAAAAAAAAAAAGTTTTTACATATATCCGCCCCGTCCGTTCCGCCAGTAAGCGCTGGCGGATTGGAGCGGGGAGGGGGGAATCCAGCCCCTCCAGCAGAGAGCCGTGACAGGATCGAGAGGTGAGCGAACGCCGGTATGTGTTCGCTCACCTCCCGATCTACTGAGCCGACCTGTGACAGTCTCATTGTCACATGTCGGCTAGAACTATGAGGTGAGTGGAAATCACTCATCTCATAGTTCTCCTTTTAATAACCCTTTAATTAAACTTGGGTGTTTTTTTTATCCAGGAAGTAGCAAGAAATTCAGCTGCAGTGGGCACATACGGAGGGCGGAGCTGGGAACACCAGAATACATTCCAGCAGGCTTATTCAGAACTTGATTCCAGCAAGTACAGGGATTTAGTTAAGCGAAGTGCTAAGAAGAATGCAGTTATGAAAATGAATACATTTAAATATGTTATTGCCGTGTATGTTGAAATATGATTTTTCTTCCCTTTAAATAAATGAATGATCAGTGACTCTCCTATTCAAGTCTTGTCAGCGGTAAACATAACCTGAGCTGCGAGCCGTGACGAGAAAATCTGTTACAGGTCCTCAGAATTCGGTGCTTTAAATCTCTTCGTCACTCCGGGCGCCCGCCAGACAGAGACAGAGCGAGCTGCTCCAGTTTTTTTTTTTTGTTAGGTTGAAATTTTCAGAGCGCTTAACCGAACAAATTAAAATGACAAATGTCTTAAATCATCCGCCGTATCCGACAGCGGCTCACTTTGATCAGAGCAATCTGCTTAGGTCTGCCTGTCGCAGCCGGGGCACCTGCATATCTTAATGGAAATGCTGCTCATTGATTGAAGAGTTAGGAAATCAAGAGGCTTAGAGACCGGTGAAGTCTACGGGGATTCGAACATCCTTGCCTACAAGGTTACTGCGTCAGTACCTCGGGGATGGGGGGGAGGCGAGTAGGAGAATTCCGAGATGGCCTTTTTTTTAAAGAGGACCTGTACTCCAATTGTCACTTAGGTTAAAAAAAAGACTTGCTCATCTTAAAGACAAAAATAAAAACGGCTCCATGCATCCTTAGAATCCTAAACCTGCCGCTGATCCAGAAGAAAGCAAAAGTGCTATGCAAAGCATAGTTCTACGTGCTCTAATAGGCAGCAAAGGCAATCAAATGCTCCCTAGATCAGCCTTTCTCAACCAGGGTGCCGTGGTACCCTGGTGTGCCTTCTGGCTTCCTCAGGGGTGCCTCAAAATGTTGTAGTAGTGGGATTGTAATGTGAAGGGGGGAAAGAAGACTGATTTGAAGGGGCTCCTGATGTAAAATAGGAACTCTGATGTAAAAGGGGGGGGGCTCTGGTATAAAAAAGGGGATTCTGATATGAAAGAGCAGCTTCTGATGTGAAGGGGGCTCATGATGGGAAACTCTGATGTGAAGGGGGATTTTGATTTGAAGGGGGCACTTTGATGTGAAGGGTCAAACCCCCTTTTTTGTGTGTTTTTGCACAGGGTCCCCCTTAAAGTCTATGACATTTCAGACTGGGGTGCCTTGAGATTTTGCATACTTTTAAAGGGTGTCGTGACTGATAAAAGGTTGAGAAGCACTGCCCTAGATCAACCGTCTACAAGTTTTATAATGCATTTAGAAACACATGTTGATGTAAAGCTATGTCGATGCTCTTGGGATGGATAAGTGAAAAGCATTTCAGTTGAAATACCTGTAGAATATGCTGCTCTTTGCTCCCTCCAGTGCTGCCGATATAACCAAAGACCATTTTAATCAGGCAGTCTTTGCTGAGTGGAAGTGCTGGTACTCAGAATGACTGATCCTTGCCTTCAGCAGAGATTATGTGATTGAATGCCTACGGAATGCTAAGGGCAGGGGTAGCCAAACTTTGGCCCTCCAGCTCTTGTGGAGCTACAAGTCACATAAGGAATTGCAAGACTCTGAGATGCATGTCCTCCAAAGGTAGATGCATAATGGGGTTTGTAGTTTCACCACAGCTGGAGGGCCGGAGTTTGGCTACCCCTGGCCTAAGGTTTTGAGGGAAGTGTGGCGCATTCTTTTCTCTGGGCAAGTATTTTAGCCTTCTATTACTCTTTCAGAATAAGGATGGCAGAGTGCTGGACTCCTAGCTTCTGTATAAACCAAATGTAGCAGATCCCTATTGCCTAATGGAGCCTCAACAGGGCCCGAGTAGAGTCTGCTTGGATGAATCAGAGGATGCCATGCCATGGAGAATGGTCCACATGTAAATTTTCAAAAAAAAAGGAAACTACCATGGATTACAGTAAGGCGCACATTACAGTATTGGTTTATGTTAAAAAATCTGAGGGTTTAATGTCACTTTAATTGTATCATGCAAGGGGAATCTGGATGGGTGGTTAATCTTGGGTTTTTTAGCTCGTACCTTTCCTGGTGCCAGACAACTTCAATTGGCAAGCTTTAAACTACAGCTTACAGAGGGTAAAAAAAAAGGCACCCACGGCCTCTTGCCCCCTCTGCTTTGGTGGTCAGGGGTCTGGAGCCATTGCCTTGCATTAGACGTAAGGATGCTGATGGACAGTCCATGAGACAGAGGGTAGGGGAGAGGGGTGAGATCAGGTCACCGGGGGTAGCGGGGATCAGGTTAGTAAAACTGATTTACTGCTTTGAAACAGAATTAACCACCCATCTAGATTCCTCTTGCATGGTAAATCTAAGCGCTGATGAAAGGGAAGGGGGGGGGGGGATCAGTGGCGGAGCTAAGGA